ATACAACCAACTAAATAAATGAAATACATTCAGAATACAGTGTACACACTAATCATTCTGCTTTACAATTTCTATCTGGAGTCAAAACAAAGTTAACATTAGAGTCAAATTACACCCAATTTCATGACTTTGTTCAGCAATGCATTGATACTTCAATTAATCGGTCTCATACTATATCATCCCAGAGAATCCCCTTTATTTTGCAAACAGTAAGCAAAGGCGACCCTTTGATGCAAAAACTATTATCGAAATTCTGTCCATCAGGCCTGCTCTCTTTTCTTCTTCAATACAGAATGGGAAATGAAAATGTCGCTGAAGCCTGTATGTTGTAGAGTTAAGAAGGTCGTGCACAACACGAAGTCACGTGTATCAAGGACTACCTCATCCAAACTTTATACTGTTGCTCAAGCCACATACACCCTTATCCGTACATAGAACATACTGTATCAACTCCGCCTTCAATGGCATGCGTTTTGCTCCTCTTTTGTAGGCTTTTTGTATTTCTTTTTGCAGGCGACTGGTAGCGTCTGTTGTTTTGATTTTTACTGGATGCGTACACATTACTTCACTTTTGTTGACAGATGACTTCAAATTTTTGTACATCAGTCAAAGTGGCGACCTTCTAATCAAATAAATCAGTACACAATGGTGGCATTAGAAAGAAAACGAAAGCTCGAAGACCACAATTTAAATGGAGGACACAAGAGGCTGAAGTCTTTCACGACTTCATCGTTTGTTTTGCATTCGTATTCGAAGTTGCCGGATATCAATGCGATGCCACCTGTCAAAAATATCGGTCTTGATATATTCGTTTGGGGAACAGGTTCGATGTGTGAGCTAGGCTTGGGCCCTGATGCAAATACAAAGGAAGTGAAAAGGCCACGATTGAATCCATACTTGACAGAGGAAAAATTGGGCCACGCCAAGATCGTCGATTTTGCAGTAGGCGGTATGCACACTTTAGCACTTGACAAGAAAAATCGTGTTTGGTCCTGGGGAAACAATGACAACGGCGTATTGGGAAGAGACACCTCTGATTCCAAGGAGGTTTTGAAAGATGCAGATGCAGCTGATAGCGATGACGAAGATGGAGACTTGAATGAAGCAGAGGCTACACCGGCGTTGGTTCAGGGCTTGAACAGCAACGACCAGATTGTACAATTAGTTGCAACTGACAACTTGAGTGCGGTTTTGTTGTCCAATGGTGATGTTTACGCGTGGGGTTGTTTTAGGTGCAATGAAGGATTGTTGGGATTTTTACGAGATGAGATTCAAATCCAAAGAACTCCGTTAAAGATAACTGAACTCAAAAACATAGTTCAGCTAGCTGGTGGAAAGGACCACATTTTAGCCCTTGATTCCAAAGGTATTGTTTTTGCTTGGGGAAATGGACAACAATTCCAATTGGGTCGTCGAATTTTGGAAAGACATCGTTTGAGAAGTTTAGAGCCACAACAATTCGGTCTCTATAATGTGAAATATGTTGCTAGTGGTGACTATCACTGCTTTGCGATAGATCACAATGATCAAGTTTACGCATGGGGCTTAAACCAGTTTGGCCAATGTGCTCTTACTGGCCCAAATGGTGAATTAGAAGATGGCTCAGTGCTCACTAAACCAACCTTGATACCAGAGTTGTGCAATTTGGGAATCAAGCAAATTGCGGCAGGGGAGCATCATACGCTTGCTCTCATAGGTGAAGGAAAAGTTTTGGCATGGGGGAGATATGATATGAAAGAAGTCGGTATTCCTGAAAACGAGCTCCCCAAGTCAACGTATAAGGACCAACATGGTAAACCAAGATCTGTTCCAACGCCAACGCAACTCAAATTTGGAAATGGCACTGATGTGAAGATCAAAGCTATTGGAGTCGGTTCTCATCATTCTTTCGCAGTAACCGACGACGGTTTTGTTTATTCATGGGGATTTTCCGAAACATATGCCCCAGGTCTAGGAAACTTGGAAGATGATGTCGAAAAACCTACAAGGATTGCAAATACAGCCACCAAATATGAAGACATATTGATGATTGGTGGGGGTGGACAATTCTCCATTAGTGGAGGAGTCAAGATAGAGAACGAGGATGCTGCAGAGGCCAGATTAGAAAAGTACGAGGACAACGATGATTAGAATGAGTGAAAAAAAATATATATATATATATACGCTAGTTTTCAACCGAGGACGCTTGCATTAAGCCACGTAGAGGGGCTCGTAGTATCCATCTCTTCGGGTTGTCTGACCAATTGCGCTTTCGCTATTTCATTTGAGACGAAATTGATGTAAAATTGATGTGAAATCGAGATTCACGCAACGCAACTACCAATTCGTTTCATTCCACTTGACAAGTTCTAAAGCTTGTTGATGTACATCCTTTTGAACCTTTTTTCTCATGTAAAATATAGGACAGTCCTTATTCGAGCAAAGAACTTCCTGGTGCAAAGATCCTTGACATCTTTGACATTCTGTCCACAACCGAGAAAACTTGTTTTCTAAATAATTCATTTGCGAAAGAGCATTGGTGTACAAGCCGGGCCCTTTACCTTCGTCAATGCAATTGTGACACAATGCGCCATTGTTGCCCGCTTTCAAAGGCGTTTTACAGTTAACACAAACCTCAGACTTCTTTGCAAATCTCATGAGACCACCAGTCTTTGGGGCTGACATTTTTATCGTTCTCGTATGCGCACCAGCTAGCAACTCTTTTGTTTTGGACTCACCTAAGATTGGAATGAAGATTCTCTCCAACGGCTTGGTCATCTGCTGCTCCAAATAGTACTTCACATCTATAGGTAAGGAATTCTCCAAAACATACAAAGGATCCTCAGATTTCTCGTAGTTTTTGTCACCTCCTGACTTGATTATCACATAAGCAACTCTATCGCCTAAAGTCGGCGCTGAACCTGGGTCTCTTTTTCTCATTCTTTCAGCCAATTCAACATGGGCTTGTTTTGCAGAATAGTCGTGTTTGGAATAAGCCTTTGTAATCACCAATTGCGAGAGATCGACTCTATTCTGCAATAGGTCCGCAATTGTTTGCTTGACAAATCTTTGCGCCTTATCGACGTTTCTTTCCTCCAAGATAAACTCCAACACTTTCGTAATCACATTCTGCACCAACCGACAATTGTCCCGTCTAACTGTTTCGATACCCTTGGTATCCATTTTGTCAAACTTGTCCGGCCTCGTCCAATATAATCCTGCGTACCTTTTCTTGTTGATTAATAAATAGGGGAAGTAAACTTTCTCGAATTCCAACTTGATGGGTTTTTGAAATTTTGTTGATACATAGTTTGCAGCCTCTTCTCCAAGTCTCATACAAGTCTCCAAATCTTGGTATCCAAATTTCACCATAACAGAATCCGTGTCACCATAGATTACCTTTGCATCGAACGGATGGCCATTTTTTTTGGAATAATGTTCCTGGACTTCGTTCTTTGTCTTTTCAATCATTTCTCGTCCAAATGCTGTGACTGAAGACGAGATTGCAAGGCAAGGCAATTTACCAATAGTAGCACCGGTGAACCCATAGACCGAGTTTGCCGAGATTTTCAATGCAAGCTGTCTACCGTTTAAAACATCCTTTTTGAAGGGATCCGTTTCATTTTTCAAATCTGTTTTCGCCTTCTTCCTTGCTGTCAATAACTCATTTAGGATTGTAGGCAAAATACCCTTCTTTTTATCAGGATGGACAAAATAATCACCATTTGGAGTTTTGACATAATCCGATTCTGTTAAACCAAACGCAGTTATCGAATTTCTACTGAGCAAGGTTGTGTAGCATAAATTATGAGCCATCATGATCGATGGATACAACGAACTGAAATCCAAAGTGGCAATGGGGACATCGTAGTAACCCCTTTCGGGCTCAATCACAGTAGCACCTTCATACTCTTCATTCGAGCCCTCGCTTTTCATATTTGGAATTACAATGTCCTCTTGTAAACATTTTCGAAACAACTGAGACACAACTTTGATTTGCTGACCCCTGGAAAGCAAGTACGAGAATGGAACTCCGGTAACCCTCGCCATTTCCGTGTAGTTGACCAAACACATCAATTTGTCCAATAACCGAAGCGGTAAGTAAGCATCTTTAAGACAATATACCGCCAAACGTCTTCTAGTTTCTTTGTTGCCGTTCTGCAAGTCAGTAATGATAGAATGTTGAACATCCTCTTTCTGCTCACCCAAGAAATGAGCAGATACTGAATTGAGTGTGTACGACCTCAATTTGTACTCTCTCTGAATAAACTGAAGCAAATCCAACTGCATACGACCATCAATGTTGACCACTTTATTCTCTCTAGTTCCGTATGCCCTGGAACTGAAAACAGCATCTTTGATCTCCTGCTTGATGTTTTTCAATCTCCCAAAATACGGGAACTTTTGAACCTTCAAAGCTCTGGCCCTATCCAACAAGTATGGTATATCGAAATTAGCGGTATTATACCCGATAATGACATCAGGATCCACTTCGTTTACGAAATCCTTCCAGTGCAGGAGCATTTCCTCCTCCTTCTCATGTTCGTATATCTGCGACCCAATTATGGATGCACAAGTATTAACAGTGAAAACATTTCTGACAAATGGCTTAGAGTCCCCCAATTTCAGAACCACATTTGCAATTTGAATTACGGGATCGTGTTCTGCTTCTGGGAATATACCCTTTCTTCCAGCACACTCTATGTCAAAAGACAATATACGCAAGGGAGCCATTTTCAACCATTCTTTTTCGGATTGATGTGCTATTAAATCCTTATAGTCAATTGAACATTCTATCTGGCATGTTGAGATTCTGTTGTGCCTTAATTTGTATTTGGATTTGGGCAATGTTATCCATGACATACCTGTAATATTGCAATCGATCATCAATCTCAAAAGATAGTTGATGTTGTCATATGTGACACTTTGTTGGATGGGGAACAATTCTTCAAACCGGATTTCCGCTTTCTCGAAAGCTCCTCTCAACCTAGTGATGTTTCTATTGTTGTTTACAAAAATCTTGAAAAAGGGAGTTTTGATGTTATTGTTGTAGCCCCAAATGGACTCTTTCATTTGAACCTGTACGTCAACCACCCCGTCAAAGTTTGCTTTTAAATAGCTCGTGAATTGTATCAAATGCTGGTCCTTGACGAATCCTTTTGGGACGGGCGAATAAAAGTAATGAACAAAGCCTGTTACATTGCAGAGCACCGAGTACCCTTCTTGTGTGATTCCAAAAAATCTTGCATAAGTTGCGTCATTCTCGTTATATTCTTCACCATCTAATTGTTGAAAGGAAACGTCTTCCTTGCTAGGATCAAAATCAGCTGGAAGCATAGGTCTTGACCAGCTTTGGTCGTCTTGAGCGCTTGATCCCTGCGCAGCTTGGGTCATGTCAACCAACTCCTTTTCAAATTCAGATGGCTCTTCTGTCCCATTTGGTCTCCTGAGCTTTTTAAAGATCTTCTCCTGTGATTCATTGATTTCGATCAGAGGTGTCGCAGTTGCCACTTGTGACGCAACGGGGAGCGAATGTGCTTGATCCTGATGTATTTCTTCGAATGGCCTTTTTGATGACATCATAAGTCGTGCCGCGTACTTTGTATGATGATTCCTGTAGAGATGGGGAAGGCAAATCAGCGTAGACTAAAGAATTGTTTCGACTGATGGAAGACACGCGCATGCAAGAAATCATTTGTAATATTAGTTTGAACTTTATATGACGCGTAGAAAAAACGCGCTACCTACACCAAAAACTGTTTCATTTAAGTAAACAATTTAGAATAGAGGACTAATACCGGTGAACTTACCTGTTTTTACTATCTGCGGTAAGAGACGAGGCCCATTGGCCCATCATAGATATTCAATGCACTACGCGTCGCCACACCGCGATGAAGATTATGAGAAGTAGTTTACCTTGATTATATGTTTAACGTTGGATGACGCTCATACAAATGCCATTTATAGTCTATTCTCCAAATTCGTATGCATTTGAAGTCAAACAATTGTTGGAGGGTGAGAGGCGTGCAAAAAAAAAAAAAAATCGCATAGAAATAATAATAGTCATTATCAGAGATGGATAGACAACACCATCCTTCGCCATTATACATTACAAAAGAGACCGAAGTGGAACTAAAGTAGCATTTGTATAACGACGTAGCAACCACCAACACCGAAACAAACCATCAGCCACCAATCAGTCAATTACAGCTTCCTCACTCAGTACATTTCTCAAACACTCCTTCACTTTTTCAAATGTTACTGGCTTTTCAATGACATAGTCAAAACAATGTGCGTTTCTGGCTTCGTCGCCAAATCCAGTAACAGCAACGATTGGGGTGCTTGAGTTTTGACCTGCAGTAAATCTGATCAATTTGACAGCATCAATGGACTCCACTTTAGTAAGTTTCAATGCCGTCATTATGAGATCAAACTTTACCTGACTTGTCGCTCTCTTGATCAAGTCTTCGCCATCTGAAACGGACACCACAATACACCCAGCCCGCTCCAACAATTTCACAACTTGATGGCGTACAGAGGAAATGGGTTCACAGTAGAGTACATCAAGGTCGTGATTTAGTGAAATCTCTTCCGACATCCGCGAACTCTCTCTTCGCCTTTGCACCCTCAATAAGGCATTTGATCTTGTCGTTTCCTCCGAGTCTGACGTGTTTGGCGACGAAGTGTCTCTGAAGAAAGAATGGTGGGCATTGAGCACATTTGGATTGGAGTGCGAATAAAACAGGATGCTGGAAGTGTGTTGCAAACTAAGATTCGCAGATGGGCTTGTAGCTGGCTTCCCTGCACTGTGAAAGTAAGGCGAGCTTCCAGCTCTGTGATGCGTGAATGATGTCGTAGTACTGGGAGAATCTTGATTGGTGTCATCGCCCAGTGAGTAAGTACTAACTGTGGAGGGAATTCTTTCATGTTTACCAAACGCGACTGTAGGACTTTCAAACACCCGATGTGGGGATTGTGACCTATTATGCGTATGTACCGGTGATCCCAGAATAGCACCAGGTGGAGAAATAGGTCTCTTAAATGGACTAGCTGTAGAAACTGAATTCGTTAAATTCAACCCAGATCCACTGTTTGGTGCATTTCCAAATGATAGCCCCCTCGACCTCATCACAGGGGTACCTTCCAGAGAGGATGACGAGAAACTGTTCCTGTGCTCCATGTGTTCCGACTTTAGTCTGTTGATAATATCCTTGTTTTGTTTCTCTAAAACAGACAAATTCCTAAAGTGAAACAGCCCAAACTCTCCAGCGTCCCCCAATTTACTAGCACGACGTTCCTTTTTAGCCAGCGTCGATGCGGTGGTACTAGTCGAAGGCAAGTTAAGGGAGTTGATAGATCCGCCCTTTTTAGCCGTGTCCTCGTCTTCTTTGTCATCATCAGATGACGATTCATCTTTGGGAAGTTGTGCCAACGAAGCCCCACGTAAGTCAAAGTAGTCTGTCAGCTCTGGATTATCAACATTGGGAACAAAAGGCGCAGGCTCATCAAATAGACTATTCCAGTTAATTTCTCCAAAGAATGGGTGTGACATAATCTCCTCAGCCCCCTGTGAACCTAACCGGTCTTCCGGATTCAACTCCAAAAGACGCTCAATTAAATTCTTTGCCTCGGAAGAGCAAAACTTCAAATCCTCCTCTGGTGGCAAGTCCGGCCAGTCTATTTCACCTTGCAATATATTATCAAAAACCTTTTCCGGCGTGTCGGCATGAAATGGTGGATAGCCGTATAAAAATTCAAACAAGATGCAACCAATAGACCACCAATCTGATGCCTCGCTTTGCCCTATTCCTCTTATGGTTTCTGGTGCTAAATAATCAGGAGTTCCAACAAATTTTTTGATTCCCCCATTGTTTCCCTCACCACCCGCCCCCAAGTCAGATCCTAGAGGTACAGCCGTTGCCACCTTGGGGTCATACAATGCATAATTTGTTACAGATGAGTTTGCAGAGTCATCATCCATAAGTGCAAACGATGACTCTGAGGCCGTTCTTGGAATGATAGGTTTCAACATCGGCGACTCTAATCCACCGGAATTCGATCTAGCCCCTGGTCTATCTTTGAGATTGCCAAAAGCTTCTAAAAACTGCATGGTGGGGGATGATGCTGCTTGAAGCGAGTTTGATGGCGTATGGTTTTGATGATTCAACCTTGACCTTTCCAAAGGTGGAGAAAGGACAATGGAGCCTGCGGAACTATTTCTCTTGCCACTATGTGGCTCATCACTGTCCAACCACCCCAACCCAGCAGAGTTTGGACCACTGCCACTACCACTGCCACTGCCACTGCCAATTGCACTTGCATTTGCACCTGCATTTGCACCTGCACCATGGGTACCAAAGATACTGCGGAAGAGCTCAACACTCTGCTCATTCACACTGCTCTTTCTATGATTGTTTTGACGGCCCACAATACCCAATCTTGATAAACCAAAGTCTGTGAGTTTCAAATGGCCATTTTTATCTATCAAGATGTTATCTGGCTTCAAATCACGATGTATTATACCCCTCTCGTGCAAATCATTCACACCAACAATTATCTCTGCTATATATCGCGCAGACCAATCGATTCCCAAAACCCCCAAAGTTTTAATCAAGTTTCCACAATCTCCACCGTTTAAATATTCCATAACCAAATACAAGTAGTCCCTCGACTGGAAACTGGAGTATAATTGTGCCACGTAAGGGGAGTCGCTCTGACGCATCATCACAGCTCTCTCGGATTTGACATTGAGAACCTGATTCTTAGCAATCATGTCTCGCTTACGAAGGCATTTGATAGCAACATACTCACCCGTCAACTTCCTTTTTGCAAGAAACACCGAACCAAAAGCCCCTTTGCTGATGGGCTTTACAATTTCATAGTCCTTGATACCTGCTGGTTTGGTTGGCGCTTGTTGCGTTGATACTAATAGCGGGGATAAAGGAGGTCGCGAGGTTGAGCTGCTTAAATGACTGGGGGTTCCATGAGTTAATGAATACGATGGAGAATTTTGTTGGTTTGGAGTCGCGGCTGTATCCAAAGAAAGTTTTGTGATTTTTTTATCGATACCCGAGCCACTATAGTCTGAATCTGTAACTGGTAGTGTTATTGGTGACGGTTTCATAACACTGTTTCTCTGAATGGAAGTCAAACTACCCTTTTCCGAATAAGGTGCCGGTGATAAATGTCGTACAGGAGAGGAGTAGTTTGTATTGTTTCCTGACGAAGTTCGCGAGATTTCATTAGACGAGTGCCGTTGGGGAACCTCGTTCCAGCTGGACTTTCTCCGCCCTGTCAAGGATGAGGATGATGAATTGTGGGACGCAGTTCTTGTTTCGTTCATCAATAGGTCTTTTGGGGTGACAATGTTGTCGAAGTGAGAGTCCTGAAGTAACTCCATAGGACTCTTGCTTCTCGATGGTTTAGGGGCAATCATAGGCGGTTGTTCCAAATGGATCAGGCTGTTCTTGCGCGAGTTCAGCACCAAACTTCCTTGAGGCTCTTGCGGCGATTGCAATTCCGTGTTACTCTCCAGTTGTGGCACCATCGGCAGTCTTGATCTCTCTACACCATCTGATGGAGTACAGCTTCTAGAAAGTTGAGCTGCGGTTTGATGCCTGAGTTTTTCAACTGTTTCCCTCACGGTCTCCAATACTAACAAGTCGACTTCGCTCTTGATTTTGTTCAGGTACTGTAAAATCGATACCAATCTGGACAAGGTTTCTAATTTATCATTTATTAAACCCTTTGTATCTTCAAGCATTTGCTTTATAGCCAAATCAGATGATTCTATGGTGGGGGGATGCATTGCCAAATTCAAGGATTTCTCGGAATTCGGGGAGAACGAAATGAGTTTCTGTAAATCATCTGTCAAGTTGTTGTTGGATGGGGGGTTAATTGCTATGGCATCATCACACAATTCCCTTATTCTCTGCAAAGTACCAAATGGGAATTTTTTTGAATACATCAAACTCTTGCTTCTAGAATGAAAGTTTTTTGTGATTACCTTGTTAGCAAGTCTGGGAGATGAGCTTTCGTTTGCAAGTAATGGTAAGGCAAAGCCCTTGTATTCGCGAATAATCGACAGCGAGTTTGAAGAATTATCGTCATCTGAGGAGCTCAGGGATATTGACAGTTGGGACGATGTGCTTGGCAGCAACAGGGACAGTGATAAGGTTTTCGATGTCAACAGTTGGTGCTGACCTGAGACTATGGGACTACCTTGGGCCGATCCCTGCTGCGAGTACAAGCCCGGTTGCTGCATTTGGATAGCTAAACTCTCCATTATCTTGGTGATCAATTCCCGTTGTTCAATAATAGCATCTTGACATTCTTGCAAGTTTTCAGCAACACGGTGTTCAATCAAACATAAATCACTGTGCTTTTCGATAAACCACGCTGGAATGTTTGTTTCGCAAATTCTACACAATATTGTGTTGGGTTGTGGAACATATTCCTCTTCCGTGACACCCAACAGTTTCAAGTTCATAAGATACCCTTCAAAAATCTCTGAACCAAAACCCAACAAATCAATCAAAGCATTTGGTATCGATAGCTCCAAATCAATTTGAATAAACGGTCTTATGGTCCACATTGAGTGGGTGGGGAGTTTTGTATGCGAATCGTGAATGAGTATTCCCTGCGCTTCAAGCTCGATGTAGCCACCATCGTTGGATATTGAAGTCGAAATTGAGCTTTGTTGAGAAGATTGGTCAGTGTGGTCTGTCAGTGGAACATCTCCCTTGTCACGCGGTACGTAGTCTTCCACAGGTAAATTGAGCTCATTAACGTCTTCCAAAGAATTTTGTGGTGTGAGTTGACCGCCACTATTAATGCTAGATCGATCGCAAATAATGTGCTCCACATCTCCGCGAATCTCATTGCCTGCTAGGTCGTGTCTTGTATAGTTTGTGGCTGTTATAAATTTCACTTTGTAACTTGCATCGTCTAGAGTCATTGAGTCAATTGCATTATTGAAGACTTTGTAATCTTCTTCATTGTTCCCCACTATAACCTTGGAAATAGGATGGTTAATGATTTTGTTTATTGAAGTACCGACAATGTACTCCCAATTCTTGGACAAATATCTTACACCACCATCGAGATCCAACTCCATAATGATTGTTGGGTTATTCAGTGAAGCCAACCTCAAATCGATTTGCTCTTCTAGTGATTTATAATGTTTGGATTCATCGTCCATTCCATGCAAGGGAAAACGATACGGTTCCATACTCACCAATTTATTGTCAGGATTGGGAGTTTCAAAGACGGTATCGTCATCTTTCGTATTCAATTTGATGCGAGGTTTGTCTGTATGGAGCAGGCGGTCTGTGTTATCCGAAGCATCACACGAGTGGTCAACCTGATGCAAAAGTTCAGTATTTCCACTCAAGTCATGACCACGAATATTTATGTCGTGCTGGACTTCTTGATGTTGAGGTGATATCGATCGTTCTTCCTCTGCAAGACGACGAGGTCGACTCTCGCGGAATACGTCTAAATTTGTTTTCACTGATGAATCTTGTGCCATTTCTTTGGTGTGTAGTTTAGATATATAGAGTGGAAAACTGCCTCCGCACTCTTTTGTTTATCAAGTGTTATTAGTGTTGACCCTCACTCACGCTGTGTGTATATCCATCTAGATGTATTGGTGCTGAATTTTGTATGATGGTGAATTACTCCACTTGTACTTGGTAGGTGTGTGGTTCTCTTGGCTGTGTAATATGGTTGGTTTAGATTTGACTTGAGAAGTTATGATTTAAGGTTGGTTGGTTTTTGTCTTTGGTGTGCGCAGCGTTGTTGTATAGTATATAATGAAGTATTAAATATTACGTAGAGATTACATTACATACATTACATACATTACATACATTACATTACATAGAGATTACATTTACACCTACATAAAAAAGGGATTGTAGTATTACACTTTCTAGGTTATATGTAGTGTATTTAGTGCGTGTAGCGTATGTAGTATATTCCAACGCTTCAACTCTAATCGCAAAAAAGTATCAGATTGCAATTACCTCTCTCCCCTTTTATACCATTTACTCAGTCCTACAGAGTTAATCTGGGTACCAGACCGGACCTATGCTATAGAATTCGCTTTTAAAGCATGTTAAAGTGCATTTTATTTGTTGTGAAGTCGATTCACAAATTCTTTTGCACTAAACTTTCCTGATTATTCAAAAAAATTTGGTTTAATTTTGACACCAAAATTCCAATTGGTGCTCATATTAAATCCATCTCACTAAACATTGTCTTTACAAACCAGCATTACACCAAAAGTAATTCAAAACAGCTGATAACAAACATGTCTATCTAACTTTGAAGCATTACTCGGGAATACACAAATATACTATTTATATATATTAAAAATGAATGGGAAAACAATTTGTTGGAAATTGTCTCCTTAAATTATTCCAAAGGAGGTGGATGAGCTCTTGGACACTGAAAGAACTTCGAATACAAGACAAAGAACAAGTAAATGATTGGGGAGATCAGATTCTCCTTTGAATTTGCAATCATGTACTTCCCTCTTCTCGCACAATGCACCAGCTCATAAACCTCCATGAACTGAAAAATGTTGAATCTATAAACACAGTTTGACAATAAGATAAAAAATGGTCGACAACAATGGGTCAAAAAAACACTAAAAAGCAGAAATTTTAACAAATAGACCTAACCTTTAATAAGAAACGACCCGAGACTCTGCTACTGTTGACAATTCTCAGATAAGAAACAGTTGTAACATTAATTGTAATAATCAAAGTAGTAGAAAAAAATTGCTAACTAAGCAAACAAAATAATTCACAACAGTCATGTGGAGAAAGTCTCTGCTTCACATTCTTAGTCTTGGTCTCTTTTGGCTGTTATTTGCTTTATTTTTAACACCAACACCGAGAGTTGGATCTCGAATTAAAATAATCATGAAAAAAACAATTAGGGGGTGGGGGTGGGGGAAAGGATTCTTTAAGTCGTAATGATCGTAATAAATGGCAATGAAGTAGTATTTGTATGTTGAATGACAAACACATTTACCAATGTGGAAAGGATGATTTGGATTGAAAGGGAGGATGATGATGATGATGATGATGATGATGATGATGACAAGTAGTAATTGCAAAAAAAAGGGGGAAAAGAATTTGTTAGTGGTAGATGGATACAAGAATTGACCAACATGTGCGGATGGAGTTTTGCAACGATAAGTTCCATTCAACAGAAGTGATAAACACCAGTGAGAAACGCAACACAACACAACACAATACAATACAACGCAACAGTGACAATAAACGATAACAATCGTGATGTACCCTTAAACAGTGTACTCAAAATTTGATTTACTATCAAGAATGGACTTCTTCTTTATCGATTCAAGTAAATCAACATTTTTCTGTTCATTTTGTTGGAAAATTATACTCTTCAAGCACTTGTTCTCCATTTCCATAGTTTTCAATCTTTTTTGCAATTGGGCAACTTTCTCTTCCAATTCTTTGGCCTTCCTCTCCATCTCTTGTTCCTTCAACTTCTTCTTAATTCTAAATCTTGCACTAGCAGCCGTGTTTCTCTTTTTCTTGTCCTCAAGCGCACTTTGCGATAAAGCCAAAGAATTACTTGCAGAAGGACTTTGAGAAACAAAGGCTGACAGCGTCTGCGCACTGGAATACACAGAAGGTGTGTAAGGAGTAGACGCTACTGAATTTGGGGATTGAACAAAAGCAGTGTTTGCTGTCAATGTAAAGTCATGACTGTTGCTCGTTTGTGATGTGGTTGAATTTACAACTGATGGTTGGTGTGGTCTAGTAAAAGTTTCACTAGAGTAGGGCTGCGTATGATGTGGATGACTCTGCTGTTGATGACGAGGAGGCTGTTGTTGTTGTTGTTGTTGCTGTTGTATAGGTTTATTTGGAACTACATAATTGTCTCCAATAACATCTAATGAGTAGAAATCATTAGCAGCACCACTGAACAAATCAAGATGCTTTTGAATGTCCTCCTCTGTGATCATGTCCTGATTACCGTTTGAAGAAGGGGAAAACATGTTATTATTGCTTGCCGATGCAGCAGCATCGTCAGCATACTCCAAATTCAAACCATTCAAGTAGTAGTTTGGATGAAAAGACATTGTTGGCTTCTCTATTTCGTTGCGTGTATGTCTGTAGTAGGAAACACTAATCTTGTTTACAGATTTGGTGTTGCTGAAATCTGTGAGTGATATCCACTAATGATGATGAAGAAGAAGAAACTATGAATTGTTATATGTAGTAGTTTATAATATGCGGTACTGCCGTTGAAGGAGACAGTTGAAAATTTTCTCTCTGTCTTTATCTTATATGCAGTACATAATATTAACTAATTACTAATTCACTCTATGTACTCTTCTAAACGATTTCCACCGCCCCAACAATCATACACCTTGTAGAAACCATAAGTGTCTGTTTGAGTCTATTGCACTAGCATATGGCCCATGGAAAGTAATAGTGATCCCTGGTAGTTGTAGTGTGGTGGGTAGTAGAGTATAATCTCCACATTGAAACATAGTAGTAGTGGTAGTAGTAGCAGTGACTCACATGTGTTTTCCCTGTCTCTCTTCTTTTCCGGTTGCTGTTCGGATATTACCGAATTTGGCTAAAAACAATCGCAAAAACTAGACCGCTCCCTCTCTCTCCCTCTCTCTCCCCCCTCGAACACCCAAACTTAACAATTGCAATACATCCTCCAACCAATCTAAGGACCAGCAGGTAGGATTCCATTACACAGGTGTCATCACACTGTGTCTGTGGTTTAATATTTTTATTCTGTGCCCAAGACCTACGCACGTGTTTGAAATTTTGTATCCGTGCAACGCGGTTAAACCGTTAACCGCATTCGGAATTTGGCTTGTCAAGCAAAAGTATACCGTTAAGATTCTTTGTAATTAGTGAGACAAAAAGAGAATACACCTTCAATTGTTGCTCAAAATCCTACAATACACCACAGCCAATCTAATGCACAATCACGAAAAAGATCATCCTCCTTCCCCTCCCTCTCCCCCTCCCCCTATTCTTCTACTCTTTCTAGACTATGCCAAACGCTAATCATTGTGTAAAAATGAACACTGATCATATTTATATAAACAACTCTACATCCACATCGATCAGCTTGATCAACTTATCCATCTCTCCTAAATCTCGATACGTGGATTTAGCAATCTCAGCTTCTTGTTTCGATTTCTCATTAATCAATTCTTGCATATTAACATCTTTCAACGCTTTTGCATTTTCTTCGTTGATTAAATCTTGATAAAACATTCGTGTAACAGTCTTCAACCTTGAAAATGGATCCCCATCCTGACTCGATTGATTCTGTAAAGCAGACTTCAGTTTGATTTCAGCTTTTCTTATATTTTCTTGATTCAATTTACGATTTCTCTCATTCACTTTTGCTATACTTGCCGCTGCTCCTCCTACCGCGGAAGCACCACTACTACTGGACATTGCATTAGAATCCTGATCTTGTAACACGCTCTCAATGGTTTTCAATTGCTCAATAATCTCTTTATTCCTTTGTAAGTTCCCCTGTTGTTTGGATATTTTCAACTCATCCATCAATTTGGCCTTGGTTTTCACTGCATCATAACTTGTATAGTTACCGCTCTTTTGCTGCATGCGCTGTTTTCGAGCAATCATTTCATTGATATCCTTATCAGTCAACCCCTTGTTGAACAAATCCTGCAATTGACTATATTTATCATTGACATCATCAAGGAAATCCACGGCTTCGCCAGTTTTATCAAGTTCCCGTAAGTATCTATCAAATTCTTCTTGTGTTATCGGTGAATCTGAAAATATACTCATGGGAAAAACCTTTTGTTGCTTCTTGTTTTGGCTAACCATAAAGTATAAATCAAACTTTGAACCGCCAATTCGATACGCCTTTTCTGGCCTTGACTTCATATCAACAATTTTCACCATCCTGTACAATGGGGTTTGAGTCACCTTGTCGACTCCAAGATTAACTTTGGCATATGTGTCCAACACCGCATCATCAAAGCCTGGATGATAACAATATTGAGATAACAATGTTCTTCCCAACTTGATTCGATTTATGTCTTCCAACTTAGCCAACTCCGTCAGTCTCTTGCGTTTCGTTTTTGACACGCCACCCCATATAACTTCACCTTCGCTTTCATCATTGTATGCATCCTCATCACCCTCCAGCAACACACCATCTTCATCCCCAGCTACTTCTTCATCCTCTTCCTCTTCTTCCGATTCCTCCTCATAATCATCATGTCTCCTACTCTTTCTCCTTGTATGCTTTTCTCTCTCCTTCTTCAACTCACTCAATTTAGACTCCTTCTTTGACTTGGCACCACCGGTCTTCTGACGAATAGAGCTTCTCAAAATTTCATTCCTACCGTGTTTTGGCTCTCGTTGCGCCTTCATACGCTGTTGCAAATACTGACGCTCTTTAAACTTGTCCATTTCCTGTGACCTTTCGAAAAGAATCTCTTCCCTCTTGATTTCATCCATCGCCTCCAACTCCTCACGGTCCTGCTCATCCTTATACTTTCCTTCTAAAGGGTACGGGTTCACCAATTCTGGCTCGTCCTCACTTTCTGGACCGTCATATCCCTCACTCGATCCAACTTTACGACGTTTCGCCAAAATCGTATCATCTTCATCATCATCTTCGTACTCCAAGTTACTCCGCTTTGAGGTAGTGGAACCGACATCTGATTCATAGTCCTCACCCCCCGCTAAAGCTAGTAAGTCATCTTCTAAGTCAGACATTGAAACTGTGCCTTTGATTGCCTGATGAACGTAACGTTTTGAGTGTTGATTCAATACACACTCTCGTGGGTATTTGAACGAGTGTCAGTGACAAAAGTCTCGTTGGAGGCAATGTCGCAAAATAGCCACATATGCGAGTGTCTCAAATAGCCACTTCACGACATTAATTGACCCCTCTCTATTTTTTGTTTTGTCACATTTACACGACAGTTAGGGCTCAGCCCGTGAGAAAAACAAAATTCACGTGACAGTTCACGCACAGAGAAACAGAATTAGAGATAAGGTAACACGCTCAACAACAGAAAGCATGGGTGATGTCACTACATATGCACGCTCCTGTAGCACCGTTTCCAAAAATTGAATATACTGTAATAAATGACATGTATTAATACCGCGATACGTATGATTTGACCATATCATCATGCAACAACAATTCAAATCCTCTGGTAGCTCGTAATGAGCTCCCCCCCACAAACACTCACTCTTTCCTTCTAAGCTCTTCCAATACAAACTCCACTTCTTCTAAATTAATCTGCGGGCTTGAAATTGTTTCATGTCCATCCACAAAATAAACATTCCAAAGTGAAATGTAGAGAGAGGTTAGCTTAACGCAATCTTCTGGCTTCTCTTTCTGATTCCATCAAACACAAGATGTCGTTCTCTCTGACTGGACCCTTAACATTTCTGACGATGGTTCTTGAAGCGTCTTCCAAGAATTCAACTCTAACTTGAGTGACACCACCTCTTGAACCGGTTCTACCCAAAACTTTGATGACTTTAGCTAATGTGACTGGAGTTTTAGTGTCCTGATGTAAAAGTTAGTAAAACAAGAAAAAAATCCTTCATCATTGGGAGGCCCGTACGGCGCGCAGGGCGGGTCTAGCTGGATAGACATACCATATTGATAAATCTGCTGTCGATATGTGAATAATCTGAATCGAAAGATGAAAGTAGGTGAAGAAAAAAAATTTCGACTGAAAAATATTTTGATGAGAATGAGAGAGAGAGAGAGAGAGAGAGAGACGAAAAAAGCGAAAAAAAAAGAAACCCAAAAGGACGTGTACAGAAGCACAAAAAGTTTTCATTACTCTACACTGTTCAACAGAGGGGATCAATAATGGCTACCTCCACCACTCAAACATCAACAGAGTCAGGAATACATGTTTAGCAAAGGGACGAAATGCTGATTGACATCTATGGCGCTTCTCTAACCGTTTACGATAATTATATTGTAACAACACTGAGTTGAGCAGGCCACGTAGGAAGGCTAGCTTGAAATCTAGAGGATCGTTTGCACGATGTTCACATGCGTATGCTCACAGACTCTGTTTCTCTACAGATAATACTTTCGCTATCCATGTAGTCTGTTGTAGCTTGCATTTTTGGTACAGGAAGGCAAGACAACTATATATGTCGCTTGTCTTCCTCATATCAGCAAGTTTCTTCAACTGGCGTAAATCCCGATAATGGTTTGAGGGGACTTCTAGGGTCTCATGGAGGTATGGGATCGTTACCGCCCTCGCAACGTAAAACACAAAGAGACTCTTCCAGTGCTCACACCCAACACCCACCACTNCTTAGTCACCACATACAAATTGAAGGCTGTGACTAGATCCATACTCAGACATTTCAGTCAAGCCCAGAAACAACAAGCACGCCTTTATTAACTCAAATTGCAATTGCTAGACAATCTCAAGAGGGTAGAAGCATGTGTAAAATATAACTCGGACTTAAATCCGATTAGGTAATTCCGAACTCTCTACAGAAGCTTCTGAACTGAGAACAGAAGCCACTGCCACGAAAAGGGAAGCTGTTACAATAAATGAAATTTCAATATTGTCACCAGATAGATAGAGATCTCTTAAACTGGCAAAGTGATGCTTCCCCCTTGGTGTAACGACAGAAACGGATCTTTGATTGCGGATGAGAAAAAGAAATTCTGCGGCCGAGAATGTATACTTGGCGGTTTCTGCTGAGGCTTTGAACTTTGATATCGCATTTTTTTTTAGCACACTATGCAGATTTTTGGATTCAAAATGACTAGTTGGACGCCTTCAATCATTGAGACAGAAATTACTGTTGGAGTATAAAGGTTGACAACTCTGCACTCGCACCTTTCTCTTGTGCAAGCTCCATCATCGACATGTCAACGTCACAGGAAATGCTGGCTACTGCGAACCTGATGCCACCAACTTCTGCAGTTTCTCCGTCCAACAATACGTTGTCTACATCCACAACAATAACTTCAGATTCTCAACCGAGGAAGGTGAATGAATTCAACGATGGCCGGGAGAAACCTCACTACAGCTGGGGCCAAAGTTGGAAAGATTGGCTCAAGCAAAGCTGGAGCTCTAACTATGACGATTTGAAAATTGAAAGCAAGTTGTTGTCCCAGTTACCGTTCTATCCTGAAAGCGATGGTAAAAGAAGAGCAAGAATTATTAACACTGACATTGGTAATGGGCAGTACATTCATGAGTTCTACATTGAAAATATCGAGAAGGATGAGACACCTGATATATGCAAAGAGTTTGTTCTTGTACATGGTTACGCCGCATCACTAGGCTTATTCATCGACAATTTCGACCAATTGAGCTCCATACCGGGGACAAAGATCCATGCTGTTGACCTTCTTGGTTTTGGCTTAAGTTCGAGACCGAAATTTCCCAACTTTCCATCTGCAACTAAGCAAGATGTATACAAAGTTGAAGATTGGTTCATAGATCCACTAGAAACCTGGAGGAAGAAGCGAGGTATTCAAAAATTTGTTTTGATGGGTCATTCTTTTGGCGGATACTTGAGTTGTGCTTACGCTATGAAATACAACAAGGCAATAACAAACCCAGTAACGGGTTCTCAATCCAATTTGATTGATAAACTAGTACTCATTAGTCCAGTGGGGGTGGAAAGAAGCGTGCACTCCTTTCTAAACAAAGAGGCAAACCCACGAGTATCTCTTGAGCAGGAGGTTTTGGCCGATCAAGAAGATATAGTCGAGGGCAAACCCTTGGAGGAACCTCCAAAGACGCGTACCAGAAAGCTCTTTGATTACATGTGGGAGAAAAACTATTCACCATTTTCAATAATTAGAAATTCTGGCCCGGTCAAATCAAAACTTATTTCAAGGTGGACAACGCATAGATTTGCTCATGTATACTATCAAGATCAACAAAGTTTTCAACACATGCACGATTATATTTATAGAGTGTTCAATGGGAAAGGGTCGGGAGAATACGCGATAACTCGAGTTTTGGCAGTCGGCGCATTAGCCAAACTTCCATTGATAGACCGTTGTCCTAAGAGATTCGTGGAGATGAAGTTACCGACACTTTGGATGTACGGGGATAAAGATTGGATGAATGATGAGGCTGGTTTGGAAATTACAAAAAAGATCAACAGTTTGTCGTCCAAAGAGTATTCCGAAAAGTTGGCGTCGTTCAAGATTCTCAAAAATGCAGGCCATCATCTTTACCTTGACAATCCTCCCGATTTCAGTAGAACCATTTTCAAATTTCTCAATCTCAAATAAAAGAAGTTATACAATTTTATTTAATTCATTTTTGCAATATTCTTGAATCTCCTTCAACTTTGCACGTTGCATCTGCTCGATCTTGTTATACTCCTGGTCCACCTGGGCTTGCAAATCATTTCTCTTGTGGAGCACCTCAAACTCCACCCTCTTCAATTTATTTACCAAATTCGAGGAAAATAATTTCAAAGCTTCTTGCATTACATTAACAGTTCCTTCAGTATCCGAAGTCTTATCGGTAATTGTAGGAAACTCGGTGAACTCTGCGTTGATAGGGGTCGAGGTACGTACAGGAGCCTGCACATTGAGCATCAAGGGTGCTTGAGATGTTGCCAACTTATCGTAACGCTCTTTCGGAGCAATGATTTCCTGCGACGAATCACTTTGTTCAAGCTTTGAACTTTCATCTGCAACAAACAACTTTGAAGATTGTTTGGTGCAATTCGCATCCTCCGTCAGAAAATGCAAACACTCACCAGGTTCATGAGTATCTTTGCCATCTCCATCTTCAAGTCCACTCTGCCCCGACGTCGTGCTCTTCCTTCTTTCGGTTTTTCTTGCTTTGGCATCTTTTTCCACCGAGCCTCCACAGTCAACACCAGTACTTGAAGTACCGTTATTCTGTACCAAAACTGCTCTCGGTTCGTGTTTACGACCATTTGTTTCGATTTGCTCAAAGGATGATTCAAAATCCAGGGTCAAATCCCACTCGTCAGAAATCTTCTTCCTCTTGCGAGTGGGTTTACCTTTGCGGTCGCCATTGTCAGACAAATTTGCTAGTTTAGTTCTTCGATTCGAAAAGCTTTGAAGTCTGGTTTTTTCATTCGTGAGTTCAATATTACGACTGGGAGAAACCTGGCATTGCAGTACCGTGCTTACGGCAGCAACCTTTCTCTTCTTTTGTAGTAAGCTCAAATATTGAACTAGCCAATTGAAGTGTAAAACATCTTTCATTTGCAACAGCATATCCAACCTCTTTTTATGAGTTCCGTCCGCGAGTACGGCCGCCAACGATGTTATGAATGATTCCGCTGGTACTTTTTTTGATCGCGTTTTTGGACCCATGGTACACGATACATTAAGTTTGATTATCAAGTTTGGAAATGTTCTGAATGAATCAAGACATTTGAGGTTGATGTGGTGACAAAGTGTTTCCAGCTTCGACTCAACCCAAATGTGAAGTAAGTGTCGATCTACGGGTTGGACATAGCATTGGCGACTTGCTAATTCTGCAACATCTGATTCAAGCACACACTGAATCAAATTTTTAAAGTTTGGATTAACGGTTTGAATATACCTTATGTAAGGTTGTGTCAAATTGGGAAGAAAGGATGCTTCGAGCCCCACAGTTGTAAGTAGTTTGATAAGATTCATCAACGTCGTAAAGTCTCGATTGAGGTACTTCATCCGCTCAAATTTTGCGAAATTTTCCCTTGAAGCAAGTGCTTCCTTAATTAGAGGGCCAGTGGTGTCATTCGTGGCGATTTTAACCAATATAGTTGAGCTAATCCAATTCCAAACAGGGCAGTTACTCAATGAATCGTACACGAGTTTATGGAAAAGTACCGAGTCACAAACATTAGTGTTCACCTTCACTAATATAGGCCATAAGGATTTCACAAAATCACAAAAGTGGTACCTCATGAACTCGCTCAAGTGTAGATTGATCAAGAAGTGACTAATCCTTTCTTCACATTCATCTTCATAGCACACTGAGCTGTATATATCGCCAACGCACTTTCGCAAAGCTTCAATTTGGGTCGAGCTTACCGGAGTAGCAGCAGTCAAAACATTGAGTGATCCGTTGATCGCAAAAATTTCCTGTTTACCCACGCTTACTGCACTCGACGAGCTTAACCTTTTCTCTGAAAGGTTGTAGTTTAGCTCCTGGAATAGCTCTATAAAGGTGGTGACACTTTTCATTCAACTTATAGGTGACTAGCAGGTGTGCACGTGGTACATTCACCAGAGGGAGAATTTTGATGTGGTAAGAAATTTTGCAACATCCTTGGAAAAAAAAAAAAAATGCACGTAAAGTCATGAAGCTCGCAGGTGGGTGGCAGATGAGTCCAAATGATGTTAGATCTAACAATGCTCTTCTTATCCAAGCAGGTCTTAGTCACCAGTTTCCAAAATAAGCAGGTTTTATTGAACAACTCAACTGGAGCCACTATTACTTTCTTTTCCTCATAGCAATTTGTTTGATAAGGACAGGCATAGGTCTGTGAATTTGAATCAAGTCAACAGTTGAGGTGCTCCATTTCGGTTATCGAGGGCCCAATGTCTACTTTGCAAGCAGTTGCAGGAATAAATAAAGAAAAAAAAAACGACATCCGCCTCGTACGTTGTTCTACCTTCACCTTTGCATTGCATTCACCCATCAAAATGATGATTTCAATGGCCCTCTACAGGTAGTAGAGATACATCTGAATTTTTTTCCTAAATTTCAAAGTTGATGAATTTAACACGACTTTCGGCTCAACTGATTTATGGCAAGATACACTAGGCATCATTCAGTAGAGACATGTATATGGGGTTTATCCAGTGTAGAGCAGTAATCGGGGAAAAATACAACTTTCAAAACTCGCGAGTGTTCCAACTAGACTCGGTAGAGAAATGATGCGTAAGCTTAGCAATGTTCAAAATCAAACACAAAAGGGGTACTACAGTTTCAATTGAAGCTTGGCAAAAGTAGATTACTTTTCTATAAAATTAAGAGAGAGAGAGTTACTATATACTCACATCGTCTACCATCTATGAGCCTCATCTCCTTCTTCCCATTGTCTCTCGCTGTAACCCAATTCTCTTTTTACTCTCTTCACTGTCTCGGGATCACCCATATTCTTTCCGATATTATCACTGATCTTGATCGCTGGATAACCATTTGACTCACTCAATTTGATGACTATATTCAAAGGCTGCGACTTCTCACCACTAGAGACATTAACAAAGTCATTCGTGAAAAAGGTGCCAATTCCAAAAGTACTTCGCAAACCGTTTTTGTCGGCCCTGTGTTTATATCTCACGCATTTTTCCACGTTTAACGAGTCACTGAAACAGATTGTTTTAGTGTGAGGATCAATCCCCTTGTCCACGTAATGTTTAGCGATTTTATCGGTGTATAATTCAGGGTCACCAGAATCTTGCCTCACACCAGCGTAATCGTCAATGTAAGGCTTGGTGAAAACGGTGAGGTAGTTGTCCGTTCCAAAGGTGTCCGTCAATGCGAGTCCAGCATATTTTGGAGTGAATGTGTCTACCCAATAATCCATAGACAACTTGTTAGCATGTACATAGTCCTGAGTGATAGATGCAATACCCATGTACCACTCGTGAGCAACTGTCCCAATTGGATGGAGATTATACTTTTTGGCAAAATACACGTTGGAAGTTCCACTAACAAATTTTGAGTTCAATCGCTCAGCGGTATCTTTAATCGATTTGATCACTATCTCTTGGGCATGGAAAGATCGTCTCCTTCTTGTCCCAAACTCACTAAAATAACATCCTGCTGCATGAAGCTGCTCCACTTTGCGAGTGGCAAGTTCAGCTTGGTGATCATAGTTCCAATCAGTATCAACAAACTTGAAATAGGCCTCGGAAATTAAAGCCAAAATTGGGATCTCGTACAAAATTGTGTCACTCCAACTTCCCACGATTTCTAACCCAAAATCACCCTCAGTATTGAAATACTTGATTTGAGAATCCGGATCAAGTTTAAATGACCTCAAATACTCCAAATAGGCGGTCGGTAGCTGAGGCAATGCTTTCTTTAAATACCCTATCTCTTCATCAGAAAATTTAATATCCCCTAAATGGTGGATTTGGGCCCTTAACCATTCCACAGCGGCAGAACTAAGTTTCAAATGGGGTGTTCTGTTGGTATATTTATACTTGACAGGAGTTTGAGGAAAATGCTTGTGGACAGCTGCGTGCATAAAGAGCTTGTAAAGGTCCGTGTCTAACAATGACGAAATAACAAATTCATCTTTGCTAGGTGAGCTCATACTTGAAGATCTCACTTGGCGATAACACTGAAAGTTTCTGATCAATAAAAAATCTGGTCGACGTAAGTTAGATGGTATAAGAGAGGGATTTTTCGTTTTCTCGTTCAAACTTCGGATCAGCACGTTTTCCGAATGACACAGAGATAAGAATCTTAACTCAGTGAATGCATAGAGGGCTCTGCCTGCGAATAACGGCAGCCAAATTGTGGGTATTGACCGCCACAATGGCAACGAGGATACTTCAATGTACAAACGGCGAAGCTTTGAGTTACTTAGCATTTGATTTATTCGACACTTTTCATGCTCTTCTATAAAGTCTCTCGGGTTTCCTTCACATTAAAATAAATCTTTTCTTGTACACAAGTGCCCCTTACAACACGACCTTCTCTAACACAGAGATTGGTCTCCATTGACTGTAAATACTTGTTGAGTTTTGCAGAAGTAGTCAGTGTTTCTTAATGATTTTCCTCCTCGCAAAAAGTGGTGTTTGGTGCGAAAAAGAAGAAAAAAAAAAAAAATAAATTAACGAGTGTATTTAGGAGTTGTTCCCAGCCACTTGGTCACCACCATTTTCATCACATCTTCACGCGTCTTGGCAATTTGACCAATTAGTACCGGACATTTACCATGTCATACACAAAGGAGCAGGAAGCTGTCGTATTACGAGTCCTCTCCTACAAAGGCCATCAGTATTACGAGATATTGGAAGTTTCCAAAACATCCACTGATTCAGAAATCAAAAAGTCTTACAGAAGGCTCGCAATCAAATGCCACCCAGACAAAAACCCACATCCGAGATCGTCAGAGGCATTCAAAGTAGTCAACAAGTCTTGGGAAGTCTTGAGCGACCCACAAAAGAGACGTATATACGATCAAACGGGTACGGACCCCACGTCTAGAATATCGAGTGCTAGTGCAACCAGTCAAGGGTTTGGTTCGTTCACAGGCACGCGGGGCTTTGCTAGTGGAACCCATGGCTCTTTTGACGATGATTTATTCAATATGTTTTTTGGTAACGGCGGAAGCCCTTTTGCATCTGGTCCAACATTTACTTTTGGTGGCAACGGATTCACATTTCAATCGTTTGGAGGGGGTCAGGACCCATTTATGAGACATAGAAGAACTACTAGAAGAACACCTAGAGCAACACCCAATACCCGCGCACAAAGTAGAGACGAAACACAAGGGCCACAATCGTTTTCAGAGGTTGTGAAGAACTTATTGCCACTTTTACTTGTCTTGATCGTACCTATCTTGTCTGCGTTATTCTCGAATGATCCATCATCGGACTATTCGTTTGTTCCTACTACCGAGTTTCGTCTAGAAAGAAAGACCCCGAAATACAACATTCCCTACTTCGTCAACGATAAGTTTAGCAAGAAGATGGAAAACAAATCACGAAGGGAGATCAAGAACTTTGGCTCCAAAGTAGAGAATATGTACATACAAGATAAGAGGGCCAAATGCTCACGAGAACAAATCCACAAGGACAATTTGATTGAAGATGCTGTCGGTTGGTTCAGCACCGATATGAGGAAGCTAGAACGGGCCCAGAATATGCCAATGCCCAATTGTGACATATTGAGAAGCTTAAACCTTATATAGAAGTATACAAAACAGAAGGAACTATTTTCATTGCATTTAAATTCCCATTTGCCTCAGTAGCGTCGTAATCATCCTTTGTTATAAAGCAGAAACAAAGTGTGTATCAATACACAATCATCAAGCGTCCACGCATCCAATTGCAATTGTCAGTGTTCAAAAACCTGTCAAACCATCCTCCGCCTCAGGCTCATCAAAATAATGGCTAAACGTGTATACAGTTCCAAAAATCAACACTCCACCGATGATGGTTAATGTTGCCGCAGTTGTGGTTAATATGTAAGAATGGTGCAAGACAATGGGTAAGTAAAGTCCACTTGTAAGCAAAAAGGCAGTCACGAATTGCCCCAGTTCTGCCAAAACGTTAGTGTTGGGTGCACTAAAAGGATCGAAACTATTGAGTCGTCTTGTTATGGCCACTGGTAGATAAGCTACGGAGAATATGATTCCAATAACAATTGGAAACCAGTTTCCATATATCCCTGCCAATATGACTAGCAAGAATCCAACGGATAGTATTACAGAAAGTCCAATTATTCGATTTAGTGGATTGGTTTTAAAATCTGTTGAGTCCATTGTGTGTTTGTAGCAGCCATTGACTTGAAAGCAATTGGCGGCGGCGATTGTGGGTTTCATTTTTCCCAAAGTTTTTTGTTTTTTTTTTTTGGATTTTCTGTACACAACAAAACATACCAGTGACACACAGTTCCACTCATTGGCCCCCCTCTCCCTTCCTCCCTTTCGTATCGTACTTTCCCATTAACGATACGACTACCTCAAACATCGAAACGAGATGGCTCAATCAAAACGCGACGAAACCAAAGTTACCAAATCGAAGGGCCGCGATAGCATCAATACTGTTCCATCTCCGCCAGGTTTTGTTACCAAGCCACTTGAACTTACAAAGCAAGCTGCGCAAAAGGTCCACCACAAGACTGACTTGAACGAACTAAAAACAAGGAAAATATGGGAACTCGCTGTTGGACCGGCCAAGTCTATTCCGATGAATGCATTTATGAGTTACATGACAGGTAACTCGTTACAAATTATTCCCGTGACAATGACAATAATGTTATTATGGAACCCGATTAAATCGATATTCAATGACCTTAATCCGACTTTTCTGAAGTTGAAAACAGAGGACAACCAGCTGATTATTCTTTTTGCAAAATTGGGATTTATATTCTTTCAGTTGATGAGTATGTCAATTGGTATTTATAAGCTATACACAATGGGCCTTATACCCCATCTGGAAGCAGATTGGCTAGCATGGTTGGAGGTGGGACCGAGTTTGAATGTTTTACATAGTTAGGCGATGAATTTATGAAGGGCATCTAGTTCACTGTCTTGTCGTAGATCTGCTGCAAATTGAATTTGCTAAACTTCAAGTAATCTTCCACAACACTCATTCCGATATTGTTCTTATAACATTCCACAATTATCAACTTTTCGTAGTTTTTCAAGTCCACTGTATGCCCGTGCTCACGTCCTACTGTTTCTGCCACTGACTTAATGATGGCCTCCGAGGTAAGTGTATCAAAATGCTTCCTCGATACTTGAATGGCAAACTTGACGGGATCTTGTCCATCTTTGTGAAAATGATCCTTCAACACATGTCTGGATAACTCCTTTAGATGTTCCTCTACATCCCCAGTTGCACTACATGAATCGCTTATTGGAGTGAGTTTCTGCGTGCTTCTGGTAGTCTTTACACCTGATGTAAAACACTCTTTTGCGTACTCATGGACGAGCAACACTGGATCGATTGGCATTTTAGTTTCGATGAACACAACACATTCGACATCAATATCAAGTGGTTGCAAATAGCTGGCTTGGGGGTTATCATTGGCCTCCTTCATCTCCAGAAGCTCCTGTTGTATCTTTTCCTCTATGGACAACGAATCTGGTCTCTTGTTCTCGCTGTCTTCGTCACCCTCTTTAGAAATGTCGAAGTACTTGGAAATCTTTTCAGAAAGTACACTGATTAGCTCCCGTCGACATTGCTTTTCCTTTCCTCGAGGACAGGTTGCGTAAATCCCCGCTGTATGAGGACCTAGTAGATTGGAGCCACTCTTGAATCTTTTCCCCTTGCTCTTTGAGTAATGCTCACTCTTCCTCTTGCTCATCGTCCTAGGTGATTGGAAATAATGGTCTTGGAAGAAAGGCAAAAGAAAAAAAAAAAACAAATTGAAGATTTAGTTCTTGGACAGAGTCACAGTACCATCAACAATTATAGAGTCGATGTTAGTCCACTCCTAGCTTAGTTTTGAACCACAAATACCAAAGAGCCGACTATATTAGGCATACAAAATTACATCTGCACCACGTTTCTACATGATTGCTGTAACTCCCGCCGTTGACAATGCTGACTTTGCCTTTAGATCTTGTGTTACATATCGTTGAAGTTGGTGATTTGGATATCAAGGATGTATTCAGTCTATACAACACAAACAGGTTGCTAAGACAAAAGCTTCTGCACCCATATTTTTGGAACGTGCTATACAGGAGACTATTTACTACGACGTTTTCGCAGTTGGAGATAGAAGGCGAACCTCGGGATTACTACATGGCATGCCGTACCATGTATAAATGCTACCTTGAAATAGACCACTTCATGAGCCACTTAACTACCCAGCACGGTCTGTCGCATAATAGTGGGAGCATGAGAGGGGGTCTACTTGCATACCTACCCTGGACGAGCGAACAATATCGACGATATTCACTAGACGTCAATTACCTACCTGCTCTTTTGAAATTTGTTGAGGTTGAAGAATGTTGTCTTCTATCAAAATTCAAAGAATCTCAAACACGTGTCGACTTTTCCAAAGCTTCTGTTTTGGAACATTTGCTATCCAACCAGTTGTACAATATTGGCCTCGAAAATATAAGACGCATTAATTCTCATAAAACAACACCAGCGTCTACAGAAAGTGTTCTTTTCAATTTGAGCTTACTTGAAAGCAAGAGCTACCGTCATTTCCGCAATCGCAGGATATTCTTGAAAAAGAAGCTGGAGTTACTTGAAAGGCGTTTGAAGTCATACGTTGTTGAGAAGTACAGTACTTTGCAAGACGAAACTGCTAAGCGTCAACTCTACGATAATTACGTCAAACGAGGATTACAACTCGTTCTAAGGAAAATGGAAAAGAGGGTTAGTCCTGACCAGTCAGCAATAGTCGAACATTTTGACGTGTTAAAGTTATACAGCGGCAAATGCAAGGCTCATCCTTATCTTTTATTCGCGGTAGCCACCAAAGTTGTGTGCGAAGGATGGATCAAGTTTGGGCTTAAACTACCCGACTTGATTGAACCTCCTGTTTGCAGTCCTTGGAGTGTAATATACCAGGATACTTTCTTTGACTACGAGAATCTGAGGTTGATGACACACAAATATGACGTTGCATTTAATGGACCAAATGAACTGATGTCATATTTGGTCCAGTTATTTAACATCTTTGACAAAGTGAATGGATTGAGGAGCACGGATTTTGCCACCATTAAATCAGTACGAGGTTTCGAGGATTATTGTACGGATGTGAACTTTGTATCGAAGATTAAGCTTTCGAGTGGAAACATTAACAACAAGATCGATTTCAACCGATTTTTGAAATCCCTAGAAAAGGAGGACGAACTTCTACATCAAGTAGTCCTTGAGCATGCACTAGGAGTGGGAGCTTTCCGGTCGAAAGACGAGCTCACCGGGATACAGCTGTGTTTGAGAGGCCATGTCATAAAGACCAGACATAATAAAGCGGCGGTAGTTTTAAGTTCCAATGAGGAATTTTGCAAAGTTCTCACCATAACCGGAACAATTGAAACCATAAGAAGTGACTTTGTTCGCAAGTGGCTGTTTGACAGTGTGTCAGACGTCAGCGTGTTTATCCGCATGGTAGGATTGAATACGCTATTCTGCCTAGGGTTTTGCCGCACAGACGTGAATTTAGCTGAAGGACATCTTGTTTTTGCATCATATCGAAGTGAAGGAGGTTCTGCTTTTGTATAGATCAGTGTCTAAGGGAAATCGTGTTTGGTAGCGTCGAAGTGTAAATATATATATTAGCCGGCAACACCTATGAGGTCATCACACATATCGAAACCAACTTAAATTGGTTTGCTTATAAATCAATTGAGACCTCCACCTCTTCCACTTTCTTTTCCACCAGCTATCTAGAATCATCGACAAAACAAGCACAGCATGCTAAGTACAACTAAAAGGTTTTCATTCTGTTCATTGAAAAGAGCCCAACAGCATCTCAACATCACAAGATTCAAACACGTTTTGGGTATTGATTTGGGAACAACAAACTCAGCAGTGGCATATGTAGGCGCCGATAATGAACCGCACATCATTGAAAATGAAGAAGGAAGAAGAACCACGCCTTCCATTGTGGCATTTGACAACGGGAAGACTTTGGTGGGGATATCGGCCAAAAGGCAGGCAGTGATTAACCCCCAAAACACCTTTTTTGCTACAAAGAGATTAATTGGGAGAAAATTCGAAGACAGCGAAGTACAGAGGGATATCAAAAATGTCCCTTATGCAATCGTGCCGAATAGACAAGGAGACGCAGTACTAAAGACTTCCACTGGACGTGAGATAAGTCCTTCGGAAATAGGAGGGTTGATTCTCCAAAAAATGCAAAAAGTTGCAGAAGAGCAGTTGGGAGAAACTGGTATCAACCAAGCAGTTGTTACTGTGCCAGCGTATTTTAATGATAGCCAAAGACAAGCCACCAAAAATTCAGGAAAGACTGTTGGGTTAGATGTGCTCCGTGTAATTAATGAGCCAACTGCAGCCGCACTAGCATACGGCTGTGACAAATCGAGAAGGGAAGGGATTGTTGCAGTTTTTGACTTTGGTGGCGGAACATTTGACATTTCGATTTTAGATATCGAGGATGGTGTTTTTGAAGTTCGAGCCACAAACGGAAACACACACTTGGGTGGGGAGGACGTTGATATTATTTTGTTGAAACGGATCATTGAAAGTTTCAAGCAGAAATATGGAATCGACTTATCCAAGAATGAATTAGCAGTGCAAAGAATTCGAGAGGCAGCAGAAGACGCAAAGATTGAGTTGTCTAAAGTAAAGGAAACTGAAATCAATATTCCATTCATATACGAGGACAAACATATCAAGTTTAGTTTAACCGAAGAAGAGCTCGACGAGATGTCAATGCCTATCATAGAGCAGGTGGTTGAGCCGGTTAAAAAATGCGTGCGAGACGCAGAGCTTAAAATGAAGGATATTGATGAAATCCTTTTGGTTGGAGGCATGACTCGTATGCCCAAGATAAGGAAAGTGGTGGAGGAACTTTTTGGAAAGAAACCAAGCACAGCAGTTAATCCAGATGAAGCAGTGGCTTTAGGCGCGGCGATCCAAGGAGCCGTTCTATCTGGTCAAGTCAAAAACGTGGTTTTGCTAGATGTGACACCATTGTCATTGGGAATCGAAACGTATGGGGGCATCTTTAGTCCTTTGATACCAAGGAACTCAGCAGTGCCTATCAAAAAAGAACAGATGTTTTCCACCGCAGTTGATGGCCAGACTGGAGTTGAATTACGTGTTTATCAAGGAGAGAGAATGCTCGTGAAAGATAACAAGATGATTGGACACTTTAAGCTATCCAATATACCACAGGGTCCTAAAGGTACTCCCCAAATTTCCGTTCAGTTTGAGATTGATGCTGACGGTATCATCAATGTCCGTGCATCAGATAAGACCCCCTATCCAAAGGATTCTCCTCATTACGGAAAAGAAAACACAGTATCAATACAAGTGACAGAGGTGGGATTAACCGATTCAGAAGTGGAGAGAATGATTCAAGAGAGTAACAGAAATAAAGAAGCAGACGAAGAAATGAAAAGGTACTATGAGCACGCATCAAGAGCCGAGATTTTGTGTGCTGATACCGAAATGGCGTTGATACAATTTGGTGAATTGATGGACAATTCCGAAAAGGAAAGCATTCAAAGTTATATTCGCGAAATCAAGCAGTGGATTAATGACATAAGAACTGGTGAAAAGCTACACGATCCCAAACATGTCAATGACAAACTTAATGAGATGCAAAAGACATGCATGGAAGCCATCAAAAAAGTTGCAAGTAAACAGCAAGAGCAAAAAAGTAAATAGCTTTCTAAAATATACTTTATGGACTTACTTACTCATCTGTATCCATTCTATCTCCCTGTGCTTGCCCATCTTCACCTTGTGCGTTTTCGTGAGTTGGGGCCGCATCGCCCAGTCCCTGGTTTGCGTTCTCTTCATCGCCATCAGTCCTATTTCTATCGTTTGTGACAGAATCTAGCTTGTCTAGCCATTGCTGCACATCCTCGTCATCATACGAAGTGTAGGACTGTCCCTTACCAACCACGGCGACACTCGTGTTTTTGAAGGTCAATTCTACGTCCTGACTCAACGTATCTCTCAATGCGTATAATCCGTGAACAATGAGCTTCTCTATGGAGTCAGACTCCCTTATCTCGTTCAAATTCCTTTCCAAATAAGTACGAGCTGCTTGCGACCTGGCTCCGATGGCAGCTCCATAGTATTCGAGGACTGATCCTGAAGGCTGAAACTCTAATAAATGAGCTCCGGTCTCGTCATACCCAGCAATTAATAATCCCACTCCATATGGCCTCGAGCCATAGCTTTGGGTGTTCTCCTGAGCTTTATCCGCGATGGTCAATGCTGCTTTTTGCGTCTGAATGGGGCGATTGAACACCATCTTACACTGCATTGCTTGCTTCCTCAAGAAGTTGGATAATACTCGCGCATCGGGAGCTAAACCAGCCAATGCAACTCCCATGTGGTTGTCTATCTTGATGATTTTCTTCTGGTAGGAGCCCAATTCCTCTGCATTTCTTTTCAAAGCCACGAGGACAACATAATCTTTGGATGTCAAACCAACCGCCGCACTTCCTTGCTTAATTGCTTCCAAAGCATACTCGACTTGGAACAATCTACCAGTTGGAGAGTAGGTGACAGAATCGTTGTCGTAATTGTTTCTGAACATTTTGGCTTGTTTCTGATCTTTGATGTTGATGATGGGTGGGTTTTTCGCCACTACAAAAAAACATTCGGGTGAATTTTCAGGTCCCTCTCTCTCTCTCTCAACAATTCTTGAGCTACCATTCTTTAATGAAAGGATTCTGTAAGATTAGGACACCTCCTCCAATGACATCTCAAAGATCAGTCGCATATGTTGCACTTGGATTTCAGTAACCGTCGTATTGTCAAGAGCTCCCAAATGCTACATCCATGTTGCCTACAGAGGGGCATAACTACTGAGGAAATATTAGTGAGTGTCGAAAAGGTCCTTTCTATAGTGACCCAACATATATGAGACGCTCGCCACTGTCTTTACAGGTGCAGTAGAGTCAGTCACCTATAAGCGTGTTTGTTTATCCACTTGGAGTGACATAGTGCGCTTCGATATGCCAACATGGTCACTGCAGTATTACGGTCAAGCAGATATTGTAAAAGTGGCAACTCACTTGAAAAGACATATGCTCATTGCATATGGTGCTGCAAGGACACTGTTTGTTTGGTATAAACAGTGGGCAATTACATTAATTTTGCTAAACCGGTGTTGATATTCTTTAGCTTAATAGTTGCTATTACAAAGAGCATTGAGAAAAAGGCAGCGCAAGTATTAGAATTATAGATCTAAACAAGAAGCAAAGTATAGTGACAACAACATCTAAAAGTGGCAACTTCATGGACACAGGGAAACTGCATGACACAACAACAGGGGTGACAAGAT